CCCCGCCAGCCGCCCCCCCCCCCCATACAGGGAGTGTCTTGGTTTTCTCCAGGTGCACCCGATTCTCGTCGAAGATTAGATTAGAGCCGGGTCCTTTGCCCAGGAGAGCCACTGAAGGAAGGCCAACAACTCTGCAGAGCCGGTAGAGAAGCTGCTGTCATGCTGGAGGGCAAAGCGCTCCTGACACAAGGCGCTTGCTGCAGAACCGGGTCAACACTCCTGCCGAATCCCTTGACTTCTCCGACAAAAACTATCCGAGCTATGGTTGTGCAAGAGCAAGCGTGCAGCGACCAGCGAGCTTTACGAGATCATGCATGAGGCGGAGATCAGCAGTCTCCAGGATCACGGCAATGTTGTCCAGCACATGCGCGGGGCTGCCGGACCTACAACTTCCAAGCGGCCAGTCACTATACCACAGTGTTGCCTTGTTTTGAAGGCTTCGTGAAGGATTCTCTCAGTTCCTGCTGGCTGCTACCACTAGATGCTTTAATGCCGCACCTCTTTGTTGCGGCTCCAAGTACCCCTGCGGTGTGGACGAGCAAGCCGCACACACCTCACAATGCGGGTGAGCTAGTACAGTAACCATTGCTGGAATTTCCCGTCGAGATCTAGCTGCAGGGCGTTGCAGCGACAGCACAAGGCTGGGCTTGGCCATCTCCTGAATAAAAGAAGCGCCGAACTTGACTCTGCACGTGCATCTGGGCATGGCACCTCGCTCGCGCAGAGACTCTCGCCAATCTGCGGAGTGGACAGAAGAAGCGCCAGCAATTCCTCGCAAGCGTCACATAATGTCTCAAGACAACTCAGTCATTCACATTCCAAGCGTGCTCTGCGCTTGGGTCAGCCTGGCGACAGCGCAGCGACTGTTCGACTGTTGCCAGGGAGATCGCATCCAAGCCTGAGCACCTGGGACTGCTGTAAGGCCACAGGGCGTGTCGCTCTCAGCACATAGCTTCCACCAGATGATGTGCAGATAGGATGCATCAAATTGACCATGTTCGCAACCTGACGACTTCATGCCGCAGCCACTAGGAGACATGTTTGGCTGCGATTCCACTCTCCAGTGCCTGCAATGGCTCAGACATGCAGAGCGGAGACAAAACCTGGCAATGCCAGTTAATCTGTCTTACTGACTGGCCGACAAGCAGTCAACACAACCTGACGCGCCTGGAAAATTTCTGGTCTCAACAAACTTGCCTTACATTCTTTGGGAAGGCTCCGGAACGGAGGGCGGTTGCTCGTGCATAGAAGCTGCACCCGCACTGTGCCCGCGGCAATTGTTACACCTGAATTGATCCCGAGCCTCGGTAGCGAAAACGAAGCCTTTCGTCTGAACAGGGTCAGTTGCCATGAGTGCATTGCTGGATTTGCTGTGTGACTGTCGGCAACTAAGGTAACTAAGGGCTCTGCGCCTTGTATTCAGGGCCGGGTGAAAAGATTGCCTGAAGCAGAGTTGTGCGAAGCTCATTCGAAGCTGGGACGAAGACGGACGAAGCGCACTAAAAGCTCGCACTGCACTTGCCGGTGATGTGCCTTTTGAATCGTCAAGAGCAGCTTTGCTGCATCCATGAGTCTTTGACAGGCCAACAGTGCGGCCAAAACCTTCCTGACAAGGGTAGTGGACTGGCTGATGTTGTGAGCTTACCGAATCATCGCATCACGTGCCATGTGGACTGCTGGCAGAGTTTCCAGATCTGCTAAGGCCCTAAGATATCCTTCAACGCTACTTACAGTCCCATGCATCCCACGCGTCGGGCACTGGGAGGCATCAGAGATCTTACATTACATATCACAGTGTAAAGGTCAAAGCGCCAGAGAGCGAGTTGAGTCCGGAAGGCAGATACAGGCTCAGCAATTCCGAAAGCTACAAGTATTGCAGAAGTCTTTACGGATCTTTAGGGCAAACCTGCTTGATCAGCCTTGCTTACAACAGTTAAAGCTCTCCAGAGAGCTCACATCCGCTCGTTTCAGGCAAGGGCCTTACCAGAGCCAACACGCCGGTCCGCGTCACATCTTTGGGTGCAGACTCCTCCACCGCAAGGATTTGGAAAATGTTGCCTCGGGTTATCTGTGTCTGCCAAACACCACTCTCAATTTTGCTGGAAAGCGAGCTGGCCTAGTGTTTCTTTAGCGCCGCACTCTAGACACGGGACTCTGGATCATTCTTAGATCATTGACTTGAGATGCTGCGAAGGCACAGCCCTCTGCTTGACCGGAATAATGCAGCAGCTCCAGCAGCTGCGACAGCCTGGCCTCGTCTTGCTTTCTCCTTGCAGTGAGGGCATGTGGAGCACATGGCAGAACTTTCAAGCAATCCTATCTTTAACACGACTCGGAATAAGCGCCCTGTGCCTGAAGAACAAGGCGAAGAGCCGCATCAGCGGCACGAGCCTGAAGCGGGAACAAGCACGAGTGTGCCCGCGTTCCTCCGCAAGCTCACTTGGCCACAGACGCGTGAAAGACAAACTTTGCCTTTTGCGGTGGTGGCATGAGGCCACTGACCTTGGCATGTGCTCTCAGAGTGGAATAGCCAAAACCTGCCAACTGTTTCCCCACCTTACTGATGTCGGCACATCGTTTGTCGAAGACCTGGCTTCGACGGTATCCCGCAGACTGGTGGGCGAGTCTGCTATGAGGACAAATCAAAGGCCTGACGCTTTTCTGCTCCTTGGAGTTCTCGACATCGATGACCACGGTAAACAGCCTGACGAAGCAGCAACGCCTGTATCTCACAACTGACTATGTGACTGCGCTGTGGCTTACACGCTACCGCGTACAGCAGCACCTGGATCTTTTTGGAAGCTGCTTCCCGTATCCTGTCTCGAAGGTGCAATGCGATGGCTGGCTACTAGTAGCCCGCCGCAGCACAAGTAGATGTCAGCATGCTTGATGCTGTCATGAGAAGGCAATAAGTCAATAGGATTTTGAGCTGACTCGACTCTTCAGGCCTCCTGCGCTCCCGAGCTTCGCGCTCCTGATGCTGGCCTTCACTGCAGCGGCAGGCACGGCAAATCTTACACTTCGAGATCCGAGTCAGCCGACGCTTCACAAAGTCGGAACGGCTTTCTTCGGCAGCGGGGCGAGCACCCTTCCTCCCGCCTGCGAACTCATGAAGGCCCTTCGCGATGCTTCATGCATGCGGAGTGCCTCTGCCACCTAGATTGACGCGGCTATTTCCGCTCACCTGCAGCAACACCACCACAAAAAGAACGTTTAGGCGTCGCGTGATGCGATGAGCCCGGCTAGCAACCAACGCCTTTCCGTCAAAGTCAAACATCGCAGATGTCGGTGGAAACCAAAGCGACGCTAAGCGAATTCAGCGGTACCGGGGTGTAGATGTGAGATGCTACTTGTACGACCGCAACTACAGGTGGTCAAGATCCACTGCTTTGTCCCACACATCTTGAGCTAGCTAGCTACACACATAGATTGGGCCAGACCCGCTGGGAATCTACAGTCTCGTGTGTCATTTCAGCTGCATACCTGGTCGAAAAGGCAGCGGGAAAAAGTGTCTGCTGACAGTACTTGTGGTGAGGTGGAGTCAATTGGACAGCAATTCAACAAGGCAAAAAGGATCCGAACCGATTTCGCCTACGGCATATGTGGTGCACTCTCGCCACGAGCGCCACTGTACACAGCAATGTGATTTAATTTGGCTGGCCATCACGCTTGGATGACCGGAGCGATGCAGAAGCTCAGAGCGAATTATGGGCAGCCTAGCCCGCTGACCAAGCTGCTGCATGCACAAGAAGTCAGGAACTCGCACCATGGAATACAAGGCTTGTTTGAGGATTGGTTGTCTGAATCGTCAGAAGTGCACTCGCCGTGAGGTGGCATTTCGTCCGTGCTGCCTTGAGAACGACACAGAATCGCTTCATCCGAGCACTGTATAAATCTTTAACCTCCCAAAATATCGCCAGAACACTCCTCAGAATTCTCTCCACAACATGTCGGATGTTCGCAAATGACCATTCACTTATCCCACTACACCAAAGATTTCCCCCAACAGATGGCCCAACAGATCCTGATGAATACGTTCTGGATCAGATCTGGACGACGTTCCTTCGAAGACGAGGTCAGCCACCGTTGTGGCACAAACGCTTCTGGCAGGCACATGTTGCCAAATTTGATGTGGCTCGCGACAACAAACACCTCAGTCACGGCAGCTCCAGCGAACGGCGACTCTTGCGTAGTGTCAGCTTAACGTAAGCTTTTGCCTTCAACGCGATGGCGGCCGAGGCTTGAAAGGAGCACCTAGTGGTTGCACGTTGGGTTGGACGAAGACTAAGCGTGGATCGTGAACGCTGTCTGCTTTTTCAGGGTGACAAGCAGTGATGGGCAGCCGGATAGCCCAGCCTTGCCCACGCCGGAGGGGAAAGCATCCGGCTTTCGAGGGGGTGTTGATCTTGTCTAAGCCTCATCAAATTACACACAAACACGAGGCATGCTGCATCATGCTGTAGTACTATGTGCAGACACTGCGAGGCAGAGGAATTTTGACACGAAGCCCGGTCTGTACACAACCATGGGTCGGTCGCGCGGCACAAATTCAGGCCGGCTCTGGAGATTGTCGAGCTGCCCAGTCTCCAAGTGACTCAGATGGAAAACGCGAAGAGTCCTCAGCTCAAATCGGAACTCCAAGAGACTCCATGTGCAATCCGTCAACCCGGTCATGTCTTCAAATAAGCAGCCCATGGCGGTAGCAACACCTGAACGAAGCAATAATCAGTGTTCCGTGTTGAGAGCTTCTGACGGCAAACAAAAGCGTGTGTGTGAGTGTGTGTGTGTGTGTGTGCGTGTGCGTGCGTGCGTGCGTGCATGTCTGAGTGAGTGAAGCATTTCGGCGCTCACAGTCGGACACTCAAGGCGAGGCACATGCCAGGACATTTGCTGAGGTGCCTTGCAAGTTGCTTCACCAGAGTGGGGCGGAGCAACGATGACAATCTAGCACAAGCAGCATCCATTCAAGTAAGGATGAATGGTCTGTGCATGTGTTCCCGACAGTAATTCTGCCAAAGCACTGTCGGACTCCCGGTTTGGGGGATGGCTGAATACGTGTTAATACTTCCTAGTACATCTGATTGCCCTGTGTGGCTGTGTGTCTGTCTGTCTGTCTGTCTGTCTGTCCGTCTGTCCGTCCGTCCGTCCGTCCGTCTGTCCGTCTGTCTGTCTCTGTGTCTTTGTTTGTGTTTTTTCTTACGTGTTTGGTGTGCTGGAGTGTCTGTGCGGGGAATTGGCGAGTGCATGTCCGTCTGTCCCGGAACAATCGAGTAAGTCCTTCTGCCTACCCAGGGTTTGCCTGGAGCAATTTGAGCGCGAGCACGTCCAGTGGGCACCCACGTAGTGAGCAACTCCCGTGCACAGCTCTTCACCTTTCTGAGTTGCACTTGCAGGCTCGGAAAGTTCTGGAGAACTCACATGGTCAGGTGATGGCTCTACCTCAGTAGGATCGGCAGAGATTGCTGCCGCGTCTGCACGGACCTCTGCCAGGACCTCAATCAAGTCGGAAGCAAGCGCATCTATGCAACGCGTCAGCCGCTCCGCAGCCAAGCGTTGGACTTCCTCCATCTTCAACTCGGCAGCACAGCGGTCTTCCGACCAGTTGTGATGGCAATAAGCTGCAGATTCCTCCCAGAATCTCCTTACAGGAGAAAATCTTCAAGGTGCCCAGACCCTCCAAAACAGATGTTGCTGAGGGACTTGAACGCAGGCCGCCACGCCTGTGAAACGGAAAGCTCGCAGTAGCCGGGCGGATCGGAACCTGCGAGCTTGTCGAAGGTGGGCAACATTGCACGACAGCAAAACGTTCAGAGTCAAGCGGAATCAGACAGGACGGAACAGACTTGAAGGTGGGCTTAGCTTTGCACCTTCCCACCACTGCTTGCAGACACAAGCACCGAAAGAGGTGTCCTTGGCTGAAGGGGCGCGACACAGGCGGAAGAGGCGCCATTCAGCGAGCTGCAGAGCGTGGACAGTCGGCGTCTGCTCGGCACCCGCGTCCTTGCGCTCTGAGAAGTTTATATAAGTGGTCAGGATGGTCGAGCCCCACGGGCATACATGGCACAGGAAGATGCAGGCTAGGAGTCCGACCGCTCACGCGAGGTTTTCCATCTTCCAGCTCAATCTCGGGAAGCTCAGCACACTCCTGGACTCCCCAAGAGAGCACCCTCCGCGAGTGCTCAAGAAGTGCAGCATCTCCTGTCTGCGCAGGTCCACGTAGTTCGTCATGCAGAGGCGTCCGGAGCTGCTCCGGGAGCCCGTCGCCAGGCTGTACTCCTGCGCTGCAATGGGACGCCTATGTCTCAGATCTGTGGCCCTTTTTCACCCCATCGGGGCGGTCCCGAATGCACCGTGGCGTCTCCAGCGCGAGGTTGCATCCAAAGCCGCTCAGGCATTCGTTGCCGTGCAGGCCAGAGCAGGAATGACCTCCAGGGCATACAGCAGCATAGCATGACCTCGAATTCCCTTCGCCCTCCGTGGCCTGAGGGGAGTTGCGGTGTGCAGACCCCAAGGAAACCTGGACACGTCACGAGAGAGAAGTCTAGAGAGAGAGTTCTGGATTCGACTGTGACTGGCTGCAGCCGAATTGCAGTACCAGCCCATGTTGCAGTCAATGTCTCGCCCGTCAGTCCTTGCCTGGAAGTCCACTGGAGTCTCACAAGGCTCTTCAGGTATTGAGCTCGGTGCCAGACACTGCAAGGAGACCCGGAGCTCAAGCCGAGGCAGCGTCCGCGAAAGCAAACCCGAGAGCCCGTCACCTGAGCCACAAAAATCGCGCCTCTCACAAGGTCTCACAAGCCTGCCCTCTGTCGCTGCCAAAGATCGCAAAGGTCATTTGGGTTGGCCGCATCGCAAACTTGGTGCGTGAGCAACGCTCGTCGACAAACCCTTTGCAAGCACCTTGCTGCAACAGCTCTGGATCCAGAATCCGCCCCACTGCATCGGTCCGGACACCACGCCTTGCAAAGGGGCCTTCACAGTCTTCATCATAGTAGCATTCAGCACCTGGGGTGTTTCTGGGAGTGCCTAGTTGCAGCCAACATGCCCTTGAAGCGACATCTGGCCTGGCGGTCGCTTCAGCACAGGATCAGCTTGACAGCGACTCTCACCTCAGGAGCGGGAGCTGCACGACACAATGCGGCAACGCGGACTTGTCCACGCATGCTTGAGGAACCAGCATGGAAGGGTAGCGAAGCAAGTCCTCAGGAAAGGTTCTATCCTTGCACCAATGACATGCTGTGCAAGGTAAAGGCGCCAGTGTGCAGACGAGCAGCGAACAATAAGGGGTATTCGACGGACATTCACCGAAGGAATGTGCTCCAAGCGTCTGAGTCACTTCTGTTTTCCTGGGCTGCAAAGTCTCAGCCCATGCTGATGTAGGATCTGATGACAGTCGCATGGCTGCGACTGAGACTCTTGTAGCATATGGGAGGATCTTGAGTTGTGTCCTCCGGCAGACAGCTGCGCACCTCGCATTGGATGTCCTGGAAAGTCTGGCACAGCCCTTGACAAAGCGATTTTCTAGCACGGCGAGGTTACACACAATGTCCTGGCCTGCGCAGTGCCTGGCAAGAGGAGGAGCGCCACCCCCGCGAAGACGACCATCGGCTCGCGATTCGGCCATGGCGGCGGCGGCTGGTGGAGGTTTCGACGGCCATAACTTCCTTGCCATTGCCATATCTCGGAATGGCGTGAGTAGCTACGCGCTGGCCCCCTGAACTACGGTAGTTCGACTCGACAACAGTCTTAGGCCAGCTTTGGACCTAGCAACTGCGGTGCCCATCTCGCCGAAAAGCCACCACAATCCACCGTCTGAGGCCGGAACGCTCCTGCAGCTTCCGCGTGCTGTCTCTTCGCAGCTTGTACACCCTTGCGCAGGCTGCCCCGTCCCCACGATGGGCTCATGCACATCCCCAAACATGGATAGGAGCTCTTTTCCCGAAGCATACCTGGCGTCCTGCAGCATCTGCAGAGAGTTCTCCACTGATGTCCAATGCCTTCATTAGCAGTAGCAACTGTCGCGTTGTGAGGCGCGATCTTCAGCTGCTCACACCGGCTGAAGATCAGGATCTTCAGCTTCGCAACTGCCTGTTGCCTTGATGGCCATGTCCTGGTCTGTGCAGACTGGAAGGCGATTCTAAGCTCCTTCACGAACCTTGAACGATCCGGCTTGCGAGCCGGGGGTGCTCGGGATGTGCGCGACTGAACCGATCTCGAGTCGATGTAGAGGTCTTATTTCAGGACTCCGAGCACGGGACCTTCGATGGACACCGAGACTCGCTGCCTCGCTGGCCTCGTTGAGCGTGTTTTACCAGAGCCTCGACCAAGCGAAGGTCCCGAAGAGCCGCTTCCGGTGAAGTGTTCTCCGAAGGATGCAAGTCAAGAACCGAATTGGCCACTTCACGAAGTGCATAGGCGACGCTAGGACCTGCAAGGCCGGCAGTGCTCTGCACCAGCCGTCCGGACATGTCTCTGAGTTCCACCTTTGCTCTGGAGACACTGAGTGTTCCGTTCGTCCCAGTAATCCGCAGATCCAAATCTGACAATCCAGAGATCTCGCTTGGGGTAAACCTTGGGGCACTGAGGGAGAAGAGCCAGACTCCCGGTATCGCTTGCAGAGACCCCGCTCGAAGGGATGTTGCAAATGTATCGAACGGCCGAATGTCTGGCCTCACGCGCCGCATGACAACTCCCTCAACATCTATGTCACCCAACAGAAGATGCATTGCAGCGGCAAGGTGCACAGCTACATCCGCAAGCCAGTTGGAACCTTCTTGCATTCGCCAGGAATGAAGATTCATGTAAGGCACGTCGTGGGGCATGTAGGTCACGGAACTAGCGGAGAAAGCGAGGATCTGTCCGATGGATCCGGAACTGATGGCCAACTCGGCGACGCGAAAAGCTGGCTCAAATCTCCAGTTCTCGCAGACAAACCATCTGCTAAGATTGCTAAAGGCTTTCGATGCTCTCGATGCCTCGAGAAGGCTCTCTGCTTGACTGACGTCAGGCGCAACAGGCTTTTCTGACACGACTGCCAAGCCTGCCGACAATGCCGACTTGACGAAAGAATGCTGCGCAGCAATTGGTAGGACGACATCCACTAATTCCAGTTCTAGCTTGCCTGCGAGGATCTCACTCCAGCCCCGATCTCCCCACAGAGGCACTGGAGGAATTACATGACCATGCCTGGCTGCCAGGCCGGACAAGTCTTTCGCCGATGATTCAGATTTGCTCCACACCGCCCGCAGATCAAAGCAGTCTTTGTTGTCCAGGATCAAGGACGGGAGGTGTGCCTTTTTGGCGAAGTGGCCGGCACCAACCAATGCAACTGCAACCCGACGCTTGCAGCTCTTTCCGAACTGTCCGGAAACTTTCCTCGAGAAGCAAGCAAGGCCGCCGGAAGGGCAAAGCTGTTGAGTTGCACTTCCCCGAAGGCTGAGGAGTCCGATTGTGATGACAATGCCAGCACGGCACACACTTGGATGCAACATGCTGGTGGTGTAGCCTTGAGGGAACATGTTCTATGCGAAGCGGCTGCCGTCTTGCTAGAGACCTTCGTTTACACAGGCTTGATCTCGCCCGGCCAGATTGAGACCTGCAGACTGAACTGAACCAGAACGTCACGAGGGGCCTCTCTTCACCCTCAGCTCGAGCGTGTCCAGACTCGGCCTTTGCCTCAAAAGCCAAAAAACACTCTCAGAGACAGGGCCCTCAGACGACGGGCCCAGCCTTCTCTAGGTCTTTGCGCAAAGAGGAGATCCCCTGCCCAGCCAGGACCCCATTCTGTCTTCTCAAGCGAATTGCTGTGCTGCTGCACCACAATGCAAAGCTGAAAACATGAGAAGAGAAACACGATGATATGCGACATGGATCAATGCTTTCCCAAGCGTTCTCGGCCTGGGACTGCTTGAACATGTGTGCCTCTGACTCCTTCAAGGTGTCCTGCGTCAGTGATTGCTATCATGCTAGTCTCATCCGATTTTTCGGAAACGATAACGAGCACGGCAGGCCTGAAGCTCGGCTATGCGACCCTTGAGAAAGTCAGCCTCCGTATTCAAGCCAGCGACCTGCACTTACTCACAGCTTGCGCCTGAACCTTGCGAGTTTCAGCTACTATCCTTGCTACTTCGCTACTTGATTTCCCCACCTTCCCTTCAAGGGTACCGATGTGGCGGACATGTTCCAGAAGCTGGCCTCTAGTTCCTCACATATCGAAGATCTTCCATCAACGATTTGCCTACATCACCTTGCCTTCCTTACTCTCCGAGTGCTGCTTTCGCTCTTCTTCAAGCTCTTGTCGCACACCTCGTCGACAAAAGCAGAGCTTGAATACCAGCTACAACTCAAAGCCTACACATGCTCTGCCGCTTTCAGTCCATGAGTTGCCGGCAGGCCAGCAGTTGCTGGTGCTCTGTATGATTGGAATCATGAGCTTCTGTCAGAGCCTTTCTCTCTGCATGCAACTGCATGTGCAGGTCCTGCTCCGCAGTTCCCGAGAACTTGCAGCCACCCCAGGCAATGCTCCAAAACGATGCAATCTGAGGATCCTGGATCTTCTCCTGGTGCTTCTCTCGGTGAGACTCCCGCTCGCGCTTCAGCCTCAAAGGAGTGTTAGGCCGATGTCTTTGCACATAACACAGCCTCTGTTCTCTGCAGCCGAAGATCTCCTCTCGTTCTGCTCTAAGCTGCTCCTTTGCTCGCTGGAGTTCCACCTGCGCTTCGCGAAGCTCCTTTTGGGGCAGCGATGGCTAATACCAAAAACCTCGCGGCTTGGTGAAACACGCACACCCACACACGGCGACGATTAGCAAGGTTAAGTGCGACGAGCGACTGACAGGACCAGACGACAAATTGACAAACGAACATGAATGAAAGTTTTGTTCCACAGGTAATGCCTCTGGAGCAAGATGGCAATGCTGCGCGAGGGTCCTGCCCCCGGTGTGTGA